GGAATTTCGGGAATTTCGGGGGTTTGGGGCTCTGGAAAAAAAAAAAAGCACTTTTGGGGGAAAATCGGGGCCACTTTGAGGGCTGGGGCAGGTGACACACCTGGGACAGGTGACACACCTGGGACAGGTGACACAGGTGACAGGTGACACACCTGGCTCAGGTGTCACAGGTGCCCCACCCGGCCCAGGTGCCCCTTTTCCAGCAGGACGGTGACGGAATTTCTCTCCTTCCAGAACAAATCCAGGCCCAACTGGGTGAGTTGGCCCCGACCCCCGAATTCCCAAACCCCGCCCCCGATTATGCAAATGAGCTGCTGCCGCGGTCATAAATCAATTAGCGTTAATTAGTCGTTCATTTCCCTGCAGATTTCAGACGTGCCCAGAGCAACGCGGGTGAGTCAGGGCCTTCCCCTTCCCTTCCCCTTCCCCTTCCCTTTCCCTTTCCCCTTCCCCTTCCTCTTCCTCTCCTTCTCCTCCTCCATTTTCACATTCAATTATCCACAACCCCCCACATTTTATATCATTTTCTCCCATTTCCTATCACTTTCCATAACTGCTTTTCCCTAATTCCCTGTAAATCCTCGGCTTTCCCCCTTTCCCAGTCCCGCTGACCCTGGACGAGCTCTGCAAACATCCCGAACTCTCCCTCCGGGACCGATCCCGGGTTGTTTCCTGCTCCGCCGCCGAGCAGCTCCACCCCAAACCCGCCGTCCTGGCCAAGGAATCCTTTTCCCAAGGGAAGCACTACTGGGAAGTGGAAGTCAGGGATGGATCCGGCTGGGAGCTGGGGGTGCTGGCTGAGGAAATCCGGGATTCCCTGCGGAAGGACGGGATGGCGCTGCCGCGGGAGCGGGAGCAGGTTCTCAGCCTTGGCTATTCCCGGGGGGAATTCACCATTCCCGGGGGCTGGAATTCCGGGCCCTGCCCAGTGCTCGGGGTTTTCTTGGATCAGGAATCCCACAACCTCTCCTTCTTCGACGTGGAAGGGAAGAGTCTCCTGGCGTCGCTTCCCTTGAGGTTTTCCGGGAATCTCTTCCCGTTTTTCAGCCCCGGCTCCGACGGAAAGGGGTTGGGAATTCGCTCCGTGGGGGGTTCATAATTAAAATAATAAATTATTTAAATATCAATAGATTATCATATTTATAATTGGTGATAATTAATAAATTTGTAGAGGGGATCATAATGTAAAATAATTTCTTAAATAATAAATTAAAAATTAAAGTTTTCCAATTTTTTTCTGTTTCCTATCCTAATTATTTTCTCCTCTGGAGAAGAGGATGGAAAACAGGAAATCCCAAAATTCCCAAGGGAATCCCAGATCCAGAGATTCTGCTGGGAATTGCATCCAAGGGAACTCCCACCCCCCTTGTTTGTTCCACCTGATGGAGTTGGGATCAAGCTCCTGCTCCAGGCTCTTCCCACCCAAATTCCAGCACATTTGGGGACCAAATAACCTCTCCTTCCTGTCCTTTTCCTGCCAGGAATTCCCCAAGGGGCCCACACGTCCTAAGAATTCCCAAAACATTTCCCTTCGGAAACCTTTTATTCCATTTCTTTTTTTTCCCAGGAAAAGCCAGTCCCCGACGGGTTTTTTCCAGGGAAAACCAGTCCCTTGCCCCCTCCTTTCCCTCTTTTTTCCCTCCCACACCCTCACGTTCCTTCCCATTCCCATTTCCATCATTTTCTCCCCCCTTTCCCCAGTCCCTGCTCAAAGTCCCTTTAGTGGGACCGGGATCGGCACCGGGCGGATCCCGATCCCTTCCCCCCGGGACACAAACGGGAAGAACATTCCCTGGGAATTCCCCGTGGTGCTCAGACCCAGCCTCTCCAGGAGCTCCGCGGTCTCCACATCGTAGAATTCCAGGCACTCCCAGTCCAGGTCCAGGAAGACGCCGAGGACGGAGCCGCTCCAGCGGAGCTTCCCGAGCCCGCGGGCTCCGGCGCTGGAGAAAAGCTCCCCCTGGGATCGGCGCAGAGCCCAGGAATCCCGGCCGGGAATGGGCCGGGCCTCGCATCCCGCGTTTTCCCGCAGCACTCCCAGCGCCCAGTCCTGCTCCCGGCCCAGCTCCAGCTCCCAGTAGTGCTTCCCGCTTCCAAAGCCTTCCCGCCCCACGAGCACCGGGAATGTGGGAGCGGCCGCGTCGCCCTCCCCGCTCGGGAGCTCCAGGATCCGCTCCAGGGCATTCCAGGCCACGGGAACTGCGGGACAGCGGGAGGAGAAGGAGCCACGGAATCCGTGAATCCCTGAGTTCCCAAGTCCCTGAATCCCAGAATCCCCAAATCCCAGAATTCCCAAATCCCTGGATCCCCGAGTGGCTGAGGTTGGAAAGGCCCCCAAAGCCCCCCGGATCTCTCCCATCCTGGGATTTCCCAGGACGCAAATCCCTTTCCCTCTTCCCATCCATCCTCTCGGGAATTGCATCCCGATCCCATCCCGGCCTTGGACACCTTCCAGGACTCCCTTTTCCCACCATTCCCAACATCCCCATCCCTTCTCCATTCCTGCCATCCAAGGCACATTCCCATTTTTCCAGCTCACCTGAGTGGCTCCTGGCTTCCCAGAAATCTGTGGAAAAACAACAGACATCGCTGCATTCCAGATTTTTTGGTGGAATTTGATCCTCCCTGGACTGGGAAAACCCTTTGGATCTCCCAAAAATCCCAATTAACCCCCAAATCCCAGGAATTTCCACAATCCCATGTTTTTTACTCACCCAGCTCTGCCTTCAGTCGACCTGCAAGGAAAAAATATTCCAGGCATTTTTGTTTGGATTTCCTATTTTTCCCCAGTTTTCCCCATTTTTTCCAGTTTTTCCCATTTTTTCCATTCTTTCCCCAATTTTTCCCAGTTTTCCCAATGGGAACAACTCCTGGGAGTGGAAAACAAGGATATTCCTCCCCACAAATTGATGTTTCACTGCATTCATTAACTACAAATCCAGGGAAAACATGGATATTAACAGGAATTCTCCTCCTGTTGTTTCTGAAGATGACCCAGAGGCACAATGTTATGTAAATTTATGCAAATTTATGCAAATCCATTCCCTTACCCAAGCGTTTCTTGAAGTGGATCTTGGCTGGAAAAAAAAAAAAAAAGGGCAGAAATTGAGGGAGGGGAAAATTCCAGGGGGAAAAAAAGGAAAATATCCATGGGAAAAACATTGGAATTACGCCAGTTATTCCTTCTGGGAATTCTGTTAAATTCCAGGATTGAGGGAATTGCAGGTTTTTCCTAAAAAGGTGGAAAAGGGGAAGGAGAAGAAAAAGTTTTGATCCCTTAAAAGTCCCGGTGGAATTTGGTGGAAGATTTGGGCTGGGATTCTGGGATTTTGGGGGGTCTTTTCCTGCCTAAGTGATTCCATGAAATCCCAAGGAAGAGGAAAAAATTGTGACTGGATCATCCCCTGGGGGTTAATTAATCACTTTTAATTAAGATGAACTTGTTTTCCCAGGGAATGTTTTATGGGAATGGGATTTACCTGCTCGTTTCTTGGCTTTTTCTCCGTCTGGAGATTCCGGATGTGGAATTGAGGGAATAATTGGGAATAACGTTAATATTTAATAATAGATATTGTTAATATTTGTTAATATTTATTATTAATGTTGTTCTGTAGGTGCCTCTCCCAGAGGGAAGGGGAAAGGGGGAAAGGGGGAAAGGGGGAAAAGGGGGAGAAGGGAAGGGAAGGGAAGGGAAAAGGGAATCTCTTACCCAACAGCGACTTCACCTTCTTTTTTTCTGGAAAAGAGACGACACGGAATTTTGGCTCCCAAAATTCCCAATTTGGGAACTTTTCTAATATTTGACGTTGGACGTTTCCCATTTCCTGAGGGATTTTTTACCTTCTTCCCTTTCCAGCTTCACTTTCACTGAAAAACAAGGGAAATTCATCCAAAATAGCCATAATAAATACAAATAATATCATTAATATAAATAATTCACCTTAATTCCTCATCACTCACCTGCACTGGCATTTTTCCTGTGGCTCCCTGGTTAAAAAAAGGGGGAAAAAAGCCCTTTTATTCCATGGTTTTTTGCACAGAAAAGAGCTCTGAGTCGTCATCTGGGATTTGATCCCGTCGGGAACACCCTCGGGTTGATTTCCCAAGGAATTCCGGGACACAGAGCCAGGAATTCCCCACCTTTTTCGGGCTCCAATTCCAGAATTTGGTCACTCCATTAATTTTTTAATTTGATTTTTTTGTTGGTTTTTTTTTTTATTTTACCCACATTCCTCTCAGGAATTATTTTTATTCCAGGGGATTTTTTCCCCCGGGATTTTCCCAACACTTACTCCTCAGGAGGCAAAACAGAGTGGAAATCAGGAGCAGGTTGAGGCCCAAAAGCACCAGGAAACCGCTCAGCCAGGAGGAGATGGAAGGGAGGAAAATATCTGGGAAAAAGTGGGAAAAGGAACGACACTCCCTCAATTATTCTGTATTAATGATTTTCAAAGTCTATTAATAATTAGCTTTATTTTGGACTCGAGGGTTGCATATTAATTATTAAATATTAAATATAAATTAAATTATTAAATATTAGGGTTAAATTAAGGGTTAAATATTCCACTGTGGATTTAAGGAGCAAATATTGCACCAGGGGGATCAGGGGATTTCTCCCAGCACGGATCCCAGGAACGGAGCCGATCCCGGGGGTGATTCCGGAGCCACCTGAGATGCGGATCCGGGATTCCCTGCTGACGTTGAGCCGGGGGTTGACGATCCTGCAGGAAACTTCCAGGTCGGATCCGGGCGGGAGGGTCACGGAAGCGTCGACGCGGAACAGCCCCGACGGCTCCGGCGTCGTCCTGGGGCTGGAAAACCCCTCCCGGACCTTTCCTCGGCCGTCCAGCCAAAGGATTTCGGGACTCGGGAACCAGCCGGAGGCTCGGCAGGAGAGGCTGAGGTCCCTTTTCCGGGACCTCACGACAATGGTGGGAATGTCGCCGATGGCTGCGGAAAAACGGGAGGGTTTCCATTCCAAAGAGCGGGAAATTGGGGTTTGGGGGATTGGTTTTCCTTGGAAAGGGGTTTTAAGGGTTTGAAGGTGTTGGAAGGGATTCCAAGGGAATGAGGGATTCCAGGGACAGTCTGGGAGAGGGAGGGGGGAGGTTGGTTTAGGAGGAAGTCGGGAGTGGGATTTGCCCGGATTTGGGAAAATGTGGGAATTATAAGTACTATGTTATATATTTATACATTATATAGTTATAAAGTGTATATTGTACACTATGTATTTATATATTATATATTATATATTATATATTATATATTATATATTATATATTATATATTATATATTATATATTATATATTATATATTATATATTATATATTATATATTATATATTATATATTATATATTATATATTATATATTATATACCCATGACATCATATTTATAGAAAATAAATACACAACACAAAAATATCAAATACAAAAAATAAAATATAAAACCCATAGAACATAAAAATATAAAATATAAAAATTTATTTCAAATACATAAAAATGCACCGGAATAAAATAACCATCAAAATTTTGCCCCATTTTTTTTTTTTTTTTAAAAAGGAATAAAAGGATCCCAGAATTCCCACCTGCCACTTCCAGCTGCACCGACACCTCCCGGGACACGTCCTGGGCCGACACGTGGCAGGTGTAGGAGCCCTGGTCGGAGATCCCGACGTTCCTCAATCCCAGGGACACATTCCCGGCCCAGAATTCCCTGGGGAAAAACTCCACCCGGCCCCGGAACCTCCCGTCCCACTCCTGCTCTCGGCTCTTCCCATCGAAACTGCCCACGGGGATCCTTCGGGAACCGTCGTGGAATTCCCAGCGGACGGAGAAAACCTCGGGAATGGGGTCCTGGGTCACCCGGCAGGGCAGGACCACCCGCTCCCCGATGATCCCGACGACGGGAATTCCGGGAGAACTCACAGACCGACCTGTTTCGGGACAAAACGGGGGCTGTTCCCGGTTATCCAACGGAACCACCTCGGGGAGAGGGATCCGGGGAACTGGGAAAACGACACGGAACGCTCGCGGGATCTGAGATTCCTGCATTTATCCTGCGGTGTTTCGAACCTTGGATCGTTTTGGTTGGAAAAATCACGGAAAAATGGGGGGAAAACCGATTCCCTGGGAGCCTCTTCCAGCCCCGACCACCCTCTGGATAAAGAAGCTTTTCCAAGGTTTTTGAAGGAATTTCAGCAGAAATCGGGTGTTTCACGGAAATACATCCCAAATATATCCCAAATATATCCCAAATGGAATTGTCTTCACCTGTGGCCAGGTGGGATCCGTGCTGGAATGTCAGGACTGGGAGCAACGTCAGCCACCAGACCCGGGAATCCATCGATGTCCCGGAATCTCCCGGAATTCCTTCGGCCCCTGCACACATTCCACGGAAAAGAACAAGAGAATCGAGGGATGAAATAACAGGGAAAAATATCCAGGAATTTATGGATGGAGGGATTGGGGTTCTCAAGGAAAAGAAGGTCCCGGGTGTTTTATTTTACTCCATTTATTCCACTTAAAAAATCAATTTACTCCAGTTAAAAAATATCAGTTTACTCCCAATAAAAAATCAACTTATTCCAGATGAATCAATTTCTAGAAGTGAATTCATGGATTTTTCCGACCAGGAATTTCTTACCGGAGCAGGAAGGCCCAGAAGGTTCCTCTGGAGTCAGGTTGGGAAGAACTTTGTCCCCAGATTTTATATTTTTATGGCCCCTGAAAGTCCTGATTTGCATTTTCCAAAAGGGTTGGACCTTGAAAAAGGGAAGTGGGAATTCTATAATAGATTAGGGTTATATTTTATATAGTACAGTACATTGTATATTATGTATTGTATTGTATTAGAGTATATATTGTATTAGAGTACATATTAAACTATAAATGATGTATAATATCTAATACAATCATATATTAAATATATCCCATTATTTTATTTTATTAGTTATTATCATAAATATAATAATAAAATAATATATAAAATATATTAGGGTTATCTTTTATCTATACATTATATATTATGTTATGTATTGTGCTAGAGTATATATTATACTAGAAATTATATATAATATCGAATAGAATCAGATATTCACTACACATTATTTATCATTATTATTTATTACAATAATAAATAATTGTATTTTGCAACACCCTAACCCTAATCCCTCCCCCGGCACAAGCCCAGAGGAATCATTCCCTCCGGAATGATTTCTGCCCAAAACTCCGGGATTTCTCCCAGAACCCCCGGGATTTTGCCCAAAACTCCGGGATTTCAGCCCAAACTGCCTCCGGCGGCCGCCCCCTGCAGGAGCCCGGATAGCTCAGTCGGTAGAGCATCAGACTTTTAATCTGAGGGTCCAGGGTTCAAGTCCCTGTTCGGGCGATTCCCCTTTTCCCGCTCCCGGCGCAGCCCGGGGGTCCCATCCCTGTTTTCTCCTCTCCCGGGAGGGAAAAACCGCGGGGTCTCTTTTTCGTGGCGGAGGGAGCGGCGCGGAGGGCTCTGGGACGGGCGGCGGGGGCGGCGCGAGGCGGTCCCATGGTGTAATGGTGAGCACTCTGGACTCTGAATCCAGCGATCCGAGTTCGAATCTCGGTGGGACCTCGCCGTCTTTTTGGGTCCCCCCCCTCCATGTACGGGCGGGGGGGTCGCGACTCGTTTGTGCCCCCCCCGTGTCCCATCGTAGGGGCAGGGGGAAAGAGGGGGGGCCCTGGCTCGTTGTGGCGTTTGGGAAGCGCAGGGGACACTCGCCTGGGGCCCCCGTGTCCCGAGTGTGTCACGCGCGTGGGTGTGGCGGCACCGCTCCTCCTCCCCCTTTTGGGATCGGGGTGTGACGCCTCAAAAGGGTCCTCGTGTGACCCTACTCTGGGGTCTGTGTGTGACGTCCCACGTGTGACGCCCCCCGGGCGACCTCGCGTGACCCCACAGATGCTTCGGGGACTGAGTGTGACATCCCACGTGTGACTGTCCGACCCCCTCAGCGGGGAGACCCGAGTGGCCAGGACGGACAGACTGAGGGACAGACAGACAGAGGGACATTTGGGGGGACAGAGGTTGGACAGAGGGACAGGAGGGAGACGGAGGGACAGGAGGGGGACAGGAGCCAGACCGAGGGACAGGAGGGGGCAAAGAGGACCGAGGCCGGACAGAGGGACAAGAAGGGGACAGGAGGGGGACAGAGGGGGCAGAGGGACCGCTGTGGGGACAGACAGAGGGGACAGAGGGACAGAGCCCGCGGGGCCGCAGGTAGCGGAGCCACACCCCGGGACCGGGAACGCGAAACCTGGAAGAGAGAGAGGTAAAAACAAACAAGCCCAGGCACAAAACAGGAAGGAGGGAGCGCAAACCAAAGCAAATAAATCCCGAGGAGCAACGAACTCCCGGCCCCTCCGGGGCCAAAGGTGCGCCCGGCCCGGCCCCGCGGACCTTTGGCCACCGCCGGCCACCCCTCAGTGGCCATGGCGGTGCTGCTGGGGCTGCTCCTGGCCGCGCTGGCCGGGCTGGCCCTGCTCGCCGCGCTGCTCGCCCCGCCGTTCCTCTGGGACGACCTGGTGGCCTTTGTCACCATGGCCAGGTCGGCGCTGCGCTGCCGCCGCCGCTTCGCCCGCAGCCCCCCCGAGACCCTCCTGGACGTGTTCCTGCTCCACGCGCGGAGGCGGCCGCGGCAGCCGCTGCTCCTCTTCCAGGACGAGCTTTACACCTACGAGGACGTGGATCTCAGGAGCAACCGGGCGGCCTGGGCGCTGCAGCGGCGCCTGGGGCTCAGCCCCGGCGCCACGGTGGCCGTGTTCCTGCCCAACTCGCCCACCTACCTGTGGACGTGGCTGGCGCTGGCCAAGCTGGGCTGTGCCATGGCTTGCGTGAACACCAACGCGCGGGGACGGGCGCTGCGGCACGCGCTGGAGGCCGCCGGGGCCACCCAGGTGCTCGCCAGCCCCGGTGAGAGGGGATGGAGGGGACGTTCGGGGGGCTACGGGGACACGGGGGGATGTGGCCACCAAGGTTACCCTGGTCCTCGCCAGCCCTGATCTCAGCCAGCCTCGCCAGCCCCAGTGTCCACACGTGTGTCAGGTCTGTACCTGTGTCCACACGTGTGTCAGGTCTGTATGTGTGTCCACACGTGTGTCAGGTCTGTACCTGTGTCCACACGTGTGTCAGGTCTGTACCTGTGTCCACACGTGTGTCAGGTCTGTACCTGTGTCCACACGTGTGTCAGGGTCTGTACACGTGTCTGTGTCTGTGCAGGGTTTGTGCGTGTGCCCAATTTGGGGTCCCTCAGGTGCCCATTTGGGGTCCCTCATGTCCCCCACCCTGTCCCTCCTGTCCCCCCAGACCCTGCCCCCCGTGCCCCCCAGTGCCCCCCCGTGACCCGCCGTGTCCCCCCCGTGTCCCGCAGAGCTCCGGGTGGCCGTGGAGGAGGTTCTCCCGGACCTGCAGCACTCTGGGATCCACGTGTTCTACCTGAGCCCCTCGTCACCCACCCCGGGGGTCCCGGCCCTGCTCCCCGACATCGAGGCAGCCCCTGCAGACCCTCTGCCCGCCCAGCACCGCGCCGGCATCACCGCCACCTCCAAGGCCATGTACATCTACACCTCTGGCACCACCGGTGAGAGGGAGCCGGGAACCGCCGGGATCCACAGCTGGGGGACACGGGGGGAAGAGGGGGGTTAGGAATGTCGGAGGGGTCTCTTGTGGGGCCTTTCTCCAGCCACGAGTGTGGTGGGTCCACCTGGGGCAGGAACGGCCCTTTGGGATGTTTGAGGTCAGTTGAGGGTGTTTGGGGTCAGTTGATGATATTTGGGGTCAGTTTGGGTTATTTGGGGTCACCCATCCGTTTTTGGGTCCCCAGGGCTCCCCAAGGCCGCGGTGGTGACGGAGCTGAAGCTGATGATGGTCGCCAGCCTGGCCTGCATGTGTGGGCTGCGCCGCGACGACGTCGTGTACACGACACTGCCCCTCTACCACTCGGCCGGGCTGCTCGTCGGCCTCTGCGGCTGCCTCAACATCGGTGCGGGAGAGCCCGGCCCACGGGACGAGGGAGGGAGGGAGGGAGGGAGGGAGGGATCAATGGATGGACAGACGGGTGGACGGACAGACGGAGGGAGGATGGATGGACGGCTGGGTGAGTGGATGAAGGGAAAAGCGAGGAGGGAAGGGGTCACCCCCCCCGGCTGTGCCCCCCCAGGAGCCACGTGTGCCCTGAGGAGCAAGTTCTCGGCCTCCCAGTTCTGGGCCGACTGTCGGCGGTACAACGTCACCGTCATCCAGTACGTGGGGGAGCTCATGCGCTACCTGTGCAACACGCCCCCGGTGAGCCCCAACTGCCCCACACTGCCCCAAAACTCCCTCAAAACTGCCCCAAAACTACCCAAAAACTGCCCCTAAACTACTCCCCACACCGCCCCAAAAACTGCCCCAAACTGCCACAAAAACTGCCACAAAAACTGCCAAAAAACTGCTCCAAAAATGCCCCAAAAACTGCTCCAAAAATGCCCCAAAAACTG